TTAGTTTACGCGCTAGTTCTTTATTAATGTAACCTATGCTGTTTACTTTTAAGTTAATAAAAGCTTATATTAAAGCTAATATAGTTCTTTATTATAAATATATAGAAATATTAACTTAGTACTTTTAGTTATTAGTAAAGGACTTAGCCTATAAGTTAGCAGAGATCTAGTGTTAAATTAGTCCTAGAGGGCAACTTAGCTCTAAGACAAGCCTTTTTACAGGCTCCTACTACTATAGCTGCAGCTATGTTAAGAGTAGTAAAAAGAATTAAAGCTTAAATATAAGTTAAAGCCTTTATAAAAATAAAATTAAAATAGTAAGAATCTTTAATAAGTGCTAGCAGCACTACTTGCATAGACTTAAGAAAAAAGAATAAAGTAGTTTTAAAATATATAACTATACTTACTATACTTAAAGTATTAACTTTTTTTTTTATAATTTTTACACTTTTTAGAACTAACTAGAGCATAATTTAAATTAATTTTTATTATGTTAGAGTTTTTATTTGCAACTGCGCTAGTTTAGGGGTGTATTAGAGCTTATATAGGGAGGAACTTTATGTTATTATTATAGGTAGCAATTAGGTTTGCATACGCGTTAAGGTTGTTTAGAAGGGGTTCTTTTACTATAGCGCATTATAGTTTAGTTAAGAGGGAGTTATATAAGGCTATAATTAAACCTATCTTATTTAAGCCTATATTAGATGTAAGTTAGCAGAACTTAGTAAAGTGTAAAGTAAAGCTTTTTTTTTATTATAAGGTGTTTAGGCAACTTAGAGCTGTTAACTTTTTATTTAGGTCTTTATAAGTTACTTATAAAAATGCTATAAATTAATTTAAGTTAATAATATCTTTATTTATTAGTAAGTTAATTAAGGCTGTTATATTATAGTTAAGTTAAAAGTAGGCATATAGTAACTAAAAGTGTTTAGAAAAGAATTAGTCTATATTTTCTTTAAGTTTATATTAGAGCTTGTGTAAAAAGAAAAGTAAGTCTTTCTATTTTCTATTAAACAGCAAAGAATTAAGGAGTTAGTTAGATTTTATTACTAAGTTAAAAAGGTTATAAGTTGTAGGCAGTGTTAGGCAAGAAAAAGTTAAGCTATCTCTAGACTTCTAAGTAAACTTTAAGGCTAGTAAGTTCTTAGTTCCTACTACTATAACAAAAGTTAAGGCAGAAATAGACTACTTAATAACATAAAGCTGTTTTTTAAAGTTCTTTTAAAAAGCTTTAAAGCTTATAATATAGTAGCTTTCTTATAAAGTAAGCGCTTTTAAAAAGGCTTCTTAGCTTACTTTAATAGCTTAGAGTTATGCAAGTACTAAGCTTATTAGATTAAATTTAGAGGCTATTTTTAGCTAAAGTTTTAACATAACATAATGTTATAATTATGCATAAGTAAGGTTATAGAGCTTTATAGAGGTCTAGTTTAATTACTACATAAGGTATTATAGTAAGTATAAGACATTATATAAGGAATAAAAAAGTTTAAAAAGAAATTAGTAATTAAATACTTAGCTTAAAAGTCTAAGCGCTTTAGGTATAAATTAAGCCTGTTTTAGGTTTAGTTAGTGTTAAGGCAGTTTATGCTTAAGTTTATGTCTGTGTTGTGTTATGTTTGTATTAGACGTGCACTAATAATACTCTAGTACGCGTCTAATACAGTTATGTCTGGGATCCGGGGAGGATACCGTGACACTATTAACTAGATAAAAATAATAATCTATTAAAAGCTTAATTACTTTTTTTTATAATTATGTCTATTACTTTTATACTTGTTAGCCTTAATCTTATAGTATTTAATAGCTTTTTTAAAAGCTTTAAGACTACTTATTAATAGCTTATTTATATGCATAGGCGTTTTAACATTAGAGGCTAGTAAAAACTTAGCTATTAGCAGCATCTCTAGAGCTCTTAGTTTAGAGATTATTTAGATAGTTAACTTAGGATCCACTTGCGGCCAGATGCTGTGCGCTACACATCTTAATTGCAGCTGCATCATCCAGGCTCTGTAGTCGGTGTGGTCTCAAAGGACGACTGTCGCGTCTTAAAGAGGCTAGGTGGCTATTTTGTATTAATAGAGGCACTAAGACTTTTAATTATTAGATTAAAGCACTGTTTCTAGGCTTCCTAAGATAAATAATAAGTTTTAGATATAATGTATAGGATAATAATTAATTATATTAATTAATTAATCTTTTTTTTTTGTCTGCCTGTGTTGCCCGGCTTTGTTTTTCCAGTCCAAGTCCCTCGCGCACTAGCCCTATGCGCGACCAGCTTGCAACATGCTGCAATTTGTTGCAAAATATTGCAAAATGCTGCAACATGCAGCAATTTGCAGCAATATACTGTTCGAGCTTATTGCTCGTACTATGTAGCAGCTTTCGTCCAGCGTTCCTCCTGTCTTGACAGTAGGTGCGCATATCTGACAATAACATAGGTTAGTTATGCTAAGAAAAAGTAGCTAGCTAAGTAATCTACTACATTATATTATATATAAGTACTTTAAGTAATCTACTACATTATATTATATATAAGTACTTTAAGTAGTATTCTACTTTATAATTTATAAGTTATAAATTTATAAAAAGTTAATTAAAAATATAACTTTATTTATTTTAAATAGTTATGTAACAAGGTAGGCACAGTCAACTACGTGGCTTTCTCTTGCTTATAGAGGTTTAGGCTAGACTAGAAGCAACCGCTAGTGCTAGTGATAACTCTAGTATTATCTATATATATATATATTATACTATGTAAGAAATACCTAGCATAAGTATTCTTATGCGTACCTTTTAGTATAGTTAAAAAAGTTATATAGTATTAAATTTTACAGATAGAGCGCTTACTTTATTATATAATACTTAAACTACCTAAAAGTTAAAAGTTTAAGTCTTAGTAATTACTCTAGCATAAATTATTGTAGAGACTATAATTAAAGTAAGTAGATATATATTCTTACTCTTATGTCTTAGAGGCTAAGGCTATGAAGAGAGAGGATAGTGTAACAAGGTAAGCATAGTTAACTATGTAGCCTTCTCTTGCTTATAGAGGTTTAGGCTAGACTAGAGGCAACCGCTAGTGCTAGTGCTAACCCTAGCATTATCTATATATATATTATACTATGTAAGAAATACTTAGCTTAAGTATACTTATCTTAACCTTTTAGTGCAGTAGCGAAAGTTATATAGTATTAATTTTTGCAAGCAGAGCGTCTACTTTATTACAAGGTAATGTTAAATAGCTTTAAGTATAAAGTAGTTTTTATTAAAATACTTAAACTATTTTTATAAGTTTCTACTTATAAAATCTTATAATCTACTTTGCTTAGCAAAACTTTATATATTTATATAAGCTTTAGTATTTTAATTTATAGAAATATTCTTCTAGGTAATCTTAATAGAATTAGCTAGTTTAGCGCTTTTTTTTATATAACTAAAGTACTTAAAAAGATATACTGTATATTTTTTTACTTAATATATTAGCTCTTGCAATGTAAGGAAATAGATAAAGTAAAAAGTTTAATAGTTATAAAGTAATAAAGTAATTATATAAAAACACTTAAGATAAGAAAATAATTAAATAAATTAGAGGTTTTAGTTAAACCTATTGTTTTTTTAAAGCACGCTACCCTGTTACGTAATATCTTATTATATAACTTTTATTTTATATATCCTTCTTTTATAGAGTTGGCCTTAGCGATATCCTTGTTACGTCTAACTGTTTGTTGTAACACTTATCTAAGACACATTTTAAGTTCATGAATTTCAGCCTAGAAAATAAATTATTATCTAATATTTTATTCTAAAGAGAAAAGAGTGTAACAATAAAAGCTCGTTCTACAAGATATTTAAAAGCTGATTAATATATGGCGTAGAGAAATGGGAAGCATATAAAGTGGCGGAAAAAGTAAGAGAGCTAAAATACCTCTTGTAGACTTGGAAGCGTGATCTTGAAGATATCTTTCCTAAGCTATCTTACTGTTAATTAGATTATTAATTAAACGAGTTTATAATTAGGTACCTGAACGGAATATTGGCCAGGAAACCGGGAGTCGAGGGCCCTTTTGAGGGTGCGGCAGCTCAGCAGAGTCGCAGGTATGGTGATGAGACAACCGTCCTGGCATCGGCTTTCGCACGCGGCGTCTGGGGCTGTAGGCGTAGTATTCATTATCGTGATGCTTGTAGAACCTCGCATTGAGTCTTTCGAGATGTAGTTGGTTCGTAAATAGAAGGGGCTGGTCGACTGGCGGATTTGTTAGACGGGTGCACTGGATTGCATTCGGTTTTTTTGTTCGATGAAGCAAGAGAAGAAAGAGTAGAAAGGTAAGGTAAGAAGAAAAACGTACCTGTTTGCTACATGGACATGAACGTCAAATTTGCTCCGGAAAAAGGGTTGCGAGAATAGAGGTGCGAAGGAAGCGAGTTTTCGGCAAGGAATATTGTGTGGCAAACCACGGGTCAGCGCGTACCACTAGCTGGGACAAGCGCCGAAAAGCTTGTCGGGGGCCTTCCTACCAACTGCAGTCTAGACCCGATTTCTGTTTAGACTACTTGATGATGTTAATGGGATTTAATTGCGCTATTCATTCGTGCGAGCAATACTCAGGTATCCGGCGCTAACCCGGAAGGCTTAGTGACAGGCCGGCCTCGACCGGTGAGCGATTTCCGGTCAAAGGCCACTCGGCGAGTCTACCTTTGGCTTATTAGTGACCGGCTTCATGAAAAGGCGAACTGGAGGCAAAAATGAATGACCTCGAGGGCTGTGGCAGGCAGACGTGAAGTAAAAAGAGGGCTTCTACCATTTCCCCTGCTGGTGTCCCTCCGTTCAGTAGGGTAAGGCAACGAGGCGCAGGTATTGAAGGCATCCTGGCAGTGCCCTGACCAGATGCCGGCGCTTGATGGGCTGCTCTACAAGATTTAGAGGTCCCAGCCCACAGTTTTATCGAGAATGATCTCGCCAGTGTGCACGAGCATGCCTGATTTCGCCGGAAATCAGAATGCCATTTGTTCTGACCTATTCGTTCGTATTCATAGCGTTCGTCATCCTAGCCCTTTACAAATTCCTCCAGGGTTTACTTCCCCAAGGCCTACCAAGTCTGACCACTAGCCAATTTTCGTACGGCAACCAGAGCGTTTCTATCCGTCTTCTCACCAAAACCGAGCCGAAGAAACCCGTCAATCCTAATATGTCGTCCGCACGGCTTCCGGAACGTTCTAAGCTTGGCCTTGAGGACCCAAGAGTTTTCAAATGTTTTGATCGTGGTGACAAATATTTTTGGGATGAAAATCGTTCCTCACGATCATCCAATGTTAGTATCACGAGGTCTACGGCACAACTGAATAATATTATCGAAAAAATTGCAGAGACGCTCGATAACGCTGCTCAAGCCTACCCCGCTGGCTCCTACCGGTATTTTATTCCCCGGAGTGAACTTTCGAGCGTTACAGACATCAATACGGTTCATTCGGTTCTTCGCTCTCTGTTGTGCTGCAATGTCTTCTCTCCAACCGACATTAGTACACTCGCTCATGAGATTTGCTTCGGAAGTGGCACAAGATGTCATCGTCCTTGCAGCAAGCTCCTAGCTCTTTTAATCCTTAGCGACTGTCATGAAGATCTCATCACACTTATCGACGAGGGCATGGATGATCACTGTTTACCGCTTGAGATGGTCACTGGAAGTAGACCTTTGAGATGCCGGAACCCCCAGCATAACCACCGAGTGATTAACGACTATAGTTCAAAGAAACGCCGTGAATTCCACCAATGGTCCTACGCTGTAAAGGCCCCGTACTTCACGAAACCGAAGAATCAACATGTCCACTATGTCCTGGAACACAATGACGTACTTCCAATACTTCAGGCTGAGGATCACACGGCATTAGGAGCTCTACGTGTCACGCAACCTAGGGCTAAGGCTCCGAAGCAAGCAGAATGCGTTTCGACGTATGGAGGATTTAGTCACGTTCAGCGTGTCAAATTTCACCCCAGCCATATCCAGTTTGGTCCCGAGAATGTAAGTGAGATCATTAGAGTGAAACAGAACCATGTGCTGACTCGGCGAAAAGCACCTCAATGGAGAAAAGCCATTTGCTTTGAAGAAATTACGATCTAAAAATGTTGACGACTTCAACAAAGAGCTGGCATCTCTTTTGACTTTCCAGGGAGGAGATTACAAGCACCTCATCCAGCTACTTGTTACCTTCGAAATAAAAGGGGCTCAAGGCTCAGATTCGTCCGAGTTTCATCTTGTATTTCCCTGGGCTGATGGAACCTTGTGGGATTTTTGGAATCTTTACCAGGACCCTGAGCAGCGAAGTACTCGAAGTCTGTGGATGGCAGAGCAATGCTATGAGCTCGCAATCGCATTACAGCTCGTGCACAATGAACGAGATCAGAATCTCAGGAAACTTACCGACGTCGATAAAAACGATTATGATCTGTACGGGAGGCATGGAGATGTCAAAGCAGAAAACACACTTTGGTTTGGAAGTAGAGATATTCTCGTGATGACAGACTTTGGACTGGGTCGGCTGCACAGTAAAATTTCCGTGTCTAACGATACGAGGTCCTCCGAAGGAACGATGACCTACCGTGCACCCGAAATCGACACCAGGGAAGGAAAAATAACACGAGCTTGCGATATATACTCAATGGGATGCATGTTCCTAGAGTTCATAACGTGGCATCTTGAAGGATGGAAGTCTGTTAGCGATGACCTTCCCAATTCTAGGATGGGAGAAGACCATCATGGATTTCATACTGATACATTCTTCCAAATCGTCGAAACCCCCGGAGAACCTCAGATCGCGATAACAAAGCCTCAGGTGACCAGGTGGATCAGTCGCTTGAAGCAGCATCCTAAATGTACTCAATTTCACCTGGACTTCTTAGAACTCGTCGAGGAACGGATGCTCGAGCCCAAAGCACAAAAAAGAATCAAATCTCCTGACTTAACAAGAAGGTTGGGGGTTCTATGGAAAACATGCCGAACAGACTCCGAGTACTGGAAACTTCCAGCTTCTCCTTCCAAGCTTCCTAATTAGAGGAATATACATCTGTATGGTAGGCATGCGAAGCCTCTCAGATCCCTCGACCGTATATATGAAGGGAATAGGAATTTTCGAGAAGGTAGTTCGTAAGCATTAATGGTTAGTAAGCGCTTTATTCTCTAGTTCTGCTTTTCAACATGTGTAGCCTTATTCTTGGTATGCTTTGATGAGGAATGGGTTACCTAAGGGGAGGCGAATCGGTGTGTGATACCACTCTTTCAACGGGATTTTGATTCGAATGTTCTCGCCGATTGTTAGCCATCGCAGGTAAGAGTAAAGTCCGATTGTCTCCACGGTTTGCGTTGTTTATGTGTTGAGGTCTTCAGTCACCAATTCTCAGCAACGAGGGAATCGAGTTCATAATTGCAAATTTTCTGTAGATGCTGTGCCTCAGTAATGGTTCCTAATATTGTCTTCGAGGTCTTCGAGTTCCTTCTGCTAGGGTTAACCTTTCTTTTCTTGAGCTTAAATGGCAGTAAGCAACGCACTGCACCTAGGGGGCTTGGCAGAACTAGAATCCACCTGTCCGCTTTCACCTGGACATTCGTTAGCTATGCCATTGAGCACTATTCAAATCATGTGCTCTAACGTACTATCACCCTATATTGGCTAGATCCATAGATGGCATCCAGGGACTCTTTAAGTTTCCCCGGGTCTCTGTACTTTTTTCGCAGGACATGTTCCGACCACCCAGGAAATATGCTGCTAGAGCTTGATAGGGGAGACTCAGTTGAGTAAGTTGACGACATCGACGATTGAGTACGTGGGCAGGCGATGCTGCAGAGCAGGCCTGGGGCAGTTTAGAATTTGTTCTAAGATGGCCCTGCAGAAATATGGTTAAAGCCAGCACTCGGCGCGCAGTCGAGTATCGCAAGTGACCTAATCCGTCTGACCGGTGGGGTCCCTTGGCCAATCATAGCCGGCCACGTCCCCTGCCTAACGTTTCACGGCGCCTTGCAGCCATTTCTGTGGAAGTCATCCAACGTCGGATTTGAAGCGGCACTTTGATCATGTTACCTGCATTCAATCGATAAAGCCCTTCACTTAATGATACCGAATATACCTTGGTGTCAGCCTGACATTGTGTAAGAGACGTCATCTCTAGGAATTGCTCTGCTTGGGAAGTTCAAGACATTGCTTGCTATTACCTCTTTTCGTGCAGTGTCAAAACAAGCTATTGAATTCTTTATTCTTCGCATTTATGTGGATCTGCCAGAAAGAGAGGACGGAATGGATTTGCAACGCCGCTTGCTGGAATGGACGGATCTTGACTTTACGAAGTTTAGTTATGGGAAAAGAGAGACCACAGTACTAACAAAGCTCGCAAACCACAAGGTCTATATTAGCCTCCATGCCGTAGCGATGAGCAAATATTGCTAATCCAGGACCAGATTGCAAAGGTGGAAAATTTGACAACGAAGGGTGACTGGGATAATTGGTTTAGGAACGAAAGTTTGTCTCTCTTCCCATGGACAAGAATTTGACCGAAACAGGCTTCATTTCTCTACCACGAAGACAGGATACCGGGAACATGCGTTGTGTATGATTACTATCGGTGTTCGCTGGACACCGCTTACTAACCGATTACCTATAGCATATGTTCACGCGCCAATCCAGTGTTCGAGGAGATACCCGCACCAGCTCATTACCTGCCGTTCGAAAGAGATGTCTTCAAGAAAATTGTACAAAAGTTCTGCGTCCATCCAGCGATTACTCGAACGATTGGGAGGGAAGTTACCTCATTCACTTGCTATGAGCATAGAGCGTCCGATCCGGACGATCTCAAGATGCGTGAGTGGACTTCCTAGCTAAGTTGCTTCTGCTGACTAGCCTGCGTCTTGTGTTCGGTAGTCTGTACAGCGCGAACTTCGTCCCTATTCCCTGGGGATCTTGCCGTTTCTTCGGTTTTTTTGGCTAAGTCGGAATTGACATTGGCGGTCATTTACGGCTGCAGCGAGAGACAGAAGCAGGAGATTATACGTAGGCTTGAAAACGTTGACCTCAGCTACAACCATCCTCTTCTACCATCCGGCCTAGTCGTAGAGCTAGAGAGGATTCGCCTAGCGGACAGAGTGGATGATTTGCTCGATAGATTCGTTCTAAAGGCGTCGTCTAGCCAGGAGCTTGATCTCGACATGGACAAAAAAAGGATGGCTGCGTTTCTCAAGCTATGCTACGAGAGTCGTGACTTGATCAATCAAATCCATGCGGAGAAGAGACAGTTAACAGCAATTTCCAAGAGAACTAGTGAGTTGGAATACATCGCGGCAGGAATGAGCAAGAATGACCATTATCAGCATTTCTAAAATCTCGAAAGCATTTGCAGGCAGCGGGACGTCAGATTCGCGCCCGGTTGAGCGAGATCTGCAGTGAGTATGACGATAAGCTGGGCGAATGCAACATGGTTATCGAGAACACGTCACTTACCATGCAAACGGCAAGTTGAGCATTTTGTCCAGTAACTTCTCCTATCGCTGACGAAACCCTTGGTAGTCAATGAATCACTTTGCGCGAGTGGACAATAGCGTAAACCTGCATCTTTCCAAAATAAACACTCAGCTAGCACGCACCAGTACAGATCTTACGCAAGACATGAGGCGTGACAGTTCGCAGATGCGATCAATTGCACTGCTGACTATGGTATTTCTACCATTATCCACTGTAGCCGTAAGCTCTATGGTTTCCAATGGTCCCAACAATATGGCCTTAGATTAATGTGATCCAGACTGTATTTTCAACCACTTTCTTCGACTGGAATGCTACTGCTGACAAGACGGTCGTGTCAGGGTACATTTGGATTTTCGTGGTTATCGCTGTCGGGCTTACCAGCACGACAGTAGGCGCTTGGTATTTCGCAACTCGTCGCGTAAGAAACGAAGGCGCAGCCTCGGAAACGTCTCGAACACTAGACGCGCTTTTCCATGAATCTGTATAAAGGAAAGCTTGGTACGCTACCCCATAGTTGAAAAGGATTGCATTCTCTGACGCAGGATGCAAGGTACTCTGTAAGGGTAGCCTAAAAAGAAATTTTCAACTTTACAAAATGCTTAACTTGCAATGCATTCTCTAAAGCTAATTTAACCTATTACATGTCTTAGAATAGGTACTAGCATATTGCATTACCTCTGTTCTTAGACACTATCCATGGTGCAGACATAAAACATTAGAAACTATTAAAGCATATAGCACGCTGTTTATTCAGCTTACATAATATTTATAACCTAAATATCTAGATCTGAGCTAATTGCTTAACAAGATAAGCTAAGCTGTTTATTACTCTATTATAATGCTAAGAATATCTTATATAGAGTTAGATTTTACTATAAATAAAAGTATCTATTTAAAAAAGTTATAGCTAGTAAAAGTATTTTTTTTTTAACTTTAGTTATTTTTAAAATATTTTATACGTTTAATTAACTAGGTTTTAAACTATGTTAATGCTTGTATTATAAAGAAAGTTGCTATATACTTTACTTTAAACTAGTTATCTAGTAACTTGTCTATATAAATGTTTATAGTTATATGTTATAATCTAAGCTAGAAGCTTTTTTAGCTTATATTAAAATCTATTAAGCTTTTTTAGTAGTTTTGTTTTTATAAGTCTTTACTAAACTTTTAGAAGTTTTTAAGTTAAAAACTATTTTTATTTACTAAATATAGCTATGTTTTTAAAGAAATTAAGCTTAATTATAATATTTAATATAGTTTTATAAAGCTAGAGCTAGATTTAAAGAGTTAAATATTTACTATAGTTACTATTATATTCTTTTGAAAAAACAAAGTGGTTAAGTTATTATAAAATATTAATATTAAATAGTTAAAATACCTTTATATGTTAGTTGCTGTATATAATTGTAAGGCCGGGATGGCGCTTACGTGTAAGGCCGAGATGGTGCTTACGTGCGACGGGTATATATACTATTCTGTACGCAATAATTAACTGTTGGTTAATTATTCGCACCTTTTTAGTTGTATTAGCGTAGTGGTACAGAGCTCCGTCCTTACAATAATTATCTGTTAATATATATTCTTCTGCTGTTCTAGCTAGAAGGTCAACCTTGTAGCAACGCAACATTAGTGATATACTAAATAGAGAATGTAGATATTATAATTTCTTTCTCTTATCTCTAACAAGTTTTTAGAAGATAAGAGATGCTATTTCTCTTCTTTAACTAAACAGTGTAAGGCTGAGATGGCGCTTACGTGCGATGGGTATATTACTATTCTGTACGCAGATCAACTGTTGGTTGATTATTCACACCTTTTAGTTGTATTAGCGCAGTGGTACAAAGCTCTGTTCTTACAAACAGAGGAGGTGTATTGCCTGCCTGTTAACAAACATTAGTTTAAAAAAAGATAGTGATAATGTGTTAAGCTTCTATGCTTATACACATGTGTGTATAAGTAAAACATAAGATATTTAAATAATTATACAGTAGATATAATTTAAGTGTCTAGTATATATTTAAATATAACTATAAAGAGATAATCTAACTAGAAGATCTATGCCTATTATATATCTTTTTATTTCTTAGCTTAGTTGCTACTAAGCTGTTAGTTACATTCTTGTAACAGCGCAGGCAAGACAATAGGTCTAAATGCGGTAGGAATCCACTCAGAGGCATATGGGAGTGCGTGGGGACTTAATGACCTGGGAATTCTATTAACACCTATAGGCCTTGTACAAAAGGATATTAGAAAACTACTAAGCTAGCTAAGAGAGAGAGGTGCGACTAAATACTTAGGGGAATAGAGGTAACTGCAGGGGACAGGGTTGAGTCATGGTCGGGGCCGATACAGGGACCCTTCAGATAGGTTCTGTCACGGTTATGTTACAGCTATCCAACCCCTGAGTACGCTAAGGGCTTAGCACGGGGTATATAGGCTCCTCGGCCTCCGTACCTCTGCCTCCAACCCTAAGGTTTACTCTCGTTACACCCCCCTATCCTGCATTCCCTCTCTGTGACCTGTGTTTCCTGCTCAATACCTCTCACAGGGTCTGAGCGACCTGAGATGGAACGATTCCTGAGAATCGTTACAATTCTTAGTGTAACAATTCTCTTAATTTATTCCATCTTAGGTTGCCCAACAAACTAATATCTAAAGGTTTCTTGTATCTACTCTAACTCTACCCTAGCCTCTACTGTATCTCTATTCCCCTAAGTATTTAGTTGCACCTCTTCTCTTAGCTAGCTTAGTAGTTTTCTAATATCCTTTGTATAAGGCCTATAGGTGTTAATAGAATTCCTAGGTCTCTAAGCCTCTACGCACTTCTATATGCCTCTAAGTAGATTTACACTGCATTTAGACCTATTATCTTGCCTATGCTATTATATTATATTAAAAAACTTACTTTTACTAGTAGCAGCTTTATTAATATTATTATATTAATTATTTATTTAATTATGTTTAAGCTTAAAACATGTTTAATTTAGTTTAAGTTATACTAATTACATACTATTATATTAAATTATTTAGTTATAATAAATAAAAATTAAAAATACCTTTAAAAGAGTTAGAAAGAGTGCGCTAAAATAGAAACATAAAGACTACTAATAACGTATTAAGATTAGAGACAACTACTAATGCCTAACTTTTAACTCTTAACTACCTACTTTAACAACAGCTAAATCTACTTTTATAGAACCTAAAGCTAAAGACCTACCTAATTTAAAGTTAAGCTATAGTAACATAGCTTTTTAAAACTAAATTACTTAATTATAGATAAAGATTATAAAGCTAACTATTTAAACTATTAATTTTAATTAACCTTAACTAACTACTAAACACACGCCTAAGATTAGTAACTTTATAAATAGTAAAGAACTAATGTTTAGATAATAGTAAGCCTTAATTATTAATAAGCTTAATATTAATACAGATTACTATGAAAGTAGGCGCGCACGCATAGCGTTTAGTTTAGGGGGCCCTGTGTTACAATATCTTACCTTGACTTTTCTATTGCTAGGTGCCTTCTGCTGGTAACTAGTCTCTTTAGAGAGTATTGTAATGAGGTAGGCGCTCTGTCTGCCAAGCTGATACTATACAACTTTCCCCACTGTACTAAAAGGTACGCACGAGAATACTTAAGCTAAGTATTCTCGCATAGTATAATATATATAGATAATGCTAGGGCTAGCACTAGCACTAGCACTAGCGGTTGTCTCTAGTCTAGCCTAAACCTCTATAAGCGAGAGAAGACCACGTGGTTGACCGTGCCTACCTCGTTACAAGTATGAGATGGGAGAGGAGAGGGGGTTTAGAAAAACGTACGTTACGTGATACTTTAACTTACAACAGTGCCTAGAGGGTGTACAGTCCTCTGTGCAATCCCTACAGAGTAGAGGTAAGGTAGGAGGGAGTAGAGAGTAAAGTAGAAGTAAAGAGGAAGTAAGATAGCTAATGTGTTTAGACTATAAAGAGCTATATTATAAAGTACTAGTGGTATCTACATTAGTTACAGCATAGGTTTTAGAATACGCTAGCATTATACAACATAGAGTTCTAGAGAATATAGTTGTATACCTACGTTACTAAAGTATATTAACTAGAATAAACTAAGAAATAAAAGAATAACGCTACAAGTATTACTAGCGAAGAGTAGTGCATAATATTTCTCTTAAACCTACGCGATTAATGTACTGCTGTACATATCCTACAACATCCTCGGCCCATACCTAACAACTTTATAACCCCAAATGCTCTCTCTTAACATCAATTCTATGCAAACAACTCCACTCGTCCAAAAACAAGCCCTGCAACAAATACACACTGTTGAACCACCTCTCTCCAAAAGCTGCCTCCGGAATCCTGATATTCGTCACCGAAGTAAACCGCTTGTTGCCTTGTGAATATGCACTACATCTCTCAAAGTACACCAGGCTCCCAATAGCCCAAGTCATTTCCTCATCATCTTGATACGCTTCTTTGAGACGTTTCCTCCGGATCTGCTTGCGGAACTCGAGCTGTGCGATGGGCCAGGGATGCGGGATACCGGACGGGGCGAGTTTCTCTCCCATTACGAATCTCGCGTGATTGTTAGAGACTTGGTTCTTGACATCGACGCACCAGCGTGCCCTCAAAGCCCGCATCCACGCTTGTTCCCGGAAGAATAGCGTCAGCATGTCTCGCCACTTGAATTCGATTGCGCGTTCCTTGGCATTGAGCTTGAGTCCTGGTAGTCCAGTATCGTTCACAGTCCCGCCCAAACTGATGGTATAATGTGGAGTCTCTGGTTTGCTCATTCTAACCCGCTCCTCCCACCTGCCCATAACCTTCTCATAACCTCCTTTCTCTTCCCTGGAAACCTCTCTCTTCCCCCTCTTATCTGTGAAATATACTCGAAGTTTCCCGGCATCAGATGAGAAGTGCGAGAATGTGCATGGAACCTCAGGCCGTCTTGTTCTTCCGCCTAAATTGTGCTTTTCGAGTTGGAAGTCTATCTGCGTGGATCGGAGGTGCGTTTCAGCGAAGGCTTGTTCAACATAAGCCTGGAAGGTTGAGGAGACGCGGCGGCACGTTGTCCAAAGGTGGGTTAGGTCTAGGTGATGGGAGAGGATGCGGATCCAGATTTCTGGGGGAAGGGAGGGACATGTGGGTGTAGGAATGTGCTGAGGCGCCATCGGACCCGACTGGAGATCGCTGTTTGACGGCGTGGTGCTCAGTGTTGAGGGGGTAAATGTTTGAGGTGGAGGTTGGAATGTGCGAATGACGATTTCGGAATTCAAGCTTCAGAAGTTGCCTTGACTCGCGCGGAGATCACGTGACTGCAGCATTAGCGTGCTCTCTATGAATAGTTGACCTGTATGCTAATGTAGTACGGGTATTAATTCTGCTAGTAAAAGCCAAATATCTAGCCCTAAACCAAACATCAATGCCATCCAAGGAAATACCCAAGGCCCCTCTGCTCCGAAACCCCTCGTCCAACGTTGCATTAGTATGTCAAAGTAACACACTTTCCCTCCCAGCCCCCCTTCACGACTACCTCCCTAAAAATGAATTCTCCTACATCTGTCCTACCAACTGTCCACCCCAATGCCGGCCCCAGTTCCTTCTCTTGCGTCTCCTTCCTGACCCCCCACTCCCAGCCCACTCTGACTTTACCCAATCCTCGTGCCGCTCCATCCGTAAGAAGGGTGGGCCTGATGATAACGAAGTCGCGGCTATTAGCGCCCTTGTCATTTACTAGAAGCTGTTCCGCTTTCTTCTTATCTACGTGTGGAACCTGGAGCAGCCAGTGATACAGAGGATACAAGAGATACGGAACATCCCTCTTCCCATCGCTTATACCGGTGGTTGAGATGGTAATTATGAATGGCTTCTTCCCGTACGCCGTGGTGGAGACCCCTGATTCTGTCAGACAAGACAGTGTGGAGAGGACGGTGCTCATGCCGACTTCACAGAGGGTTGGGTCGGTGAGGGTGACAGGTTGCATGATCGACCATTGCAGTGCGGGCGTTGAACCCACGCCGAAGAGAATAGTGTCAACGAGGACGGAGGGATTTGAAGGTAAAGTGAGTACTTTTTGCACTGCAGAAGAGTCTTTCACATCGCCAGCGTGAATGGTGAGCTGGGAATCCAGGGTTGTGGCTGGGATCAAATGGGTTGTAGTTAGCATATTCCGAAGCTTGTCCGGCGTACGGGCAACTGCACATCTTGTTAGAATAGATTTGAGGAGGAAGGCCATGAAAGTTACGAGCTGTGCATGTATGTCCATTTCGAAGAGCAGCGGCCAAGGCTGCACACGCGCAGCCGCCTGTTGCACCAAAGAAAGCAATTGTTTGCTTAGAGGCAGACATTGTTGGAATAGAAATTAATTTGACTTGTAGGACGGCGAGGAATTTAAGTAATTATTCGTAATATGAAGAATGGCGAAGCGTGTTAAAGATGGGAATTGCCGGTTGGAGTGCTTGATGCTGAATTGTTGAATTGTAGCCACCCAGCCTCTTCACCCTTCCTCCTCTTATACATCCTGTCCCAAAGCCACAGTCTCTCAACACACAAGCCCGATGCAAGAACGCACGAGTCCGACGCGAGATAGCGCGAGTCTGACTGGAAAGTTCGCGTGAAGACTGACATGAACTCCACACATTGTCTTCACGAAAGTCAGGGAGGGAGCAGTTTCTAATAGAAGATGTCCCGCACGGAGAGATTGTTGGTCCGCCTCTAGCCTGATAAGGGAACGCTAACCGAACGTCAAGCCAAAATTCGGAACAGGGAACGCGCTCACTAGCCGAGAACTGGCCGAGAACTGGTGGCTTCACCCACCCTCACCTCTACGACTACTTTTAATGTTTTCACATCTAGAGAAGCTCTCTAGTTAAGGAAGATACCCAGATGAAAAGCAGGCAATCCTAGCAATATTAAAGAGATTATATCCATTACTTGACCGCAGTATGATGGGCGCCCATCATGTGGCGTAGGAGATTTAGTGGCTTCGCCTCATAGGTTCAGTTCACATCCACTATACTACGTTGTATCACGCCGGTGGCAGTTCGCACTTCACGTTTCCAAAGGCTCCCATTTCGTACATCACCCATCCCATTCCAACTTACCTTCCCTCTCCCAATTTTCCACCTCCACCTTCCCCATGTTTCATATAACCTCTACTGCATTCACTTATTGTTTGATATCTTGGATACTCCCCCTTTGCCCCTTCTCTTCATCCCCCTCAAGCACGTGCTTCATCGCTGCCTGGTCCCTATGTGTGGCCTCCGCCATATCATTATCATGCGCGACGTCGAACTTCCTTCCCCTATATTCCGGGCCAATGAAGGTGAGAAGTATGACGTAGGCGTAGACACAGCCCATAAAGATGCAGATGACTTTACCATATTCGTATCTCTTGACCTTTCCTTTAGGGGGAAGCGGGAACCTCTCACCAATGGTCGCTTCAATGGTGCTAGATGCTGAAGAAACGAGGTTACCGAGTTGATAGGAAGTGCCGACTACAAAGGTACGGAAGCTACCTGGAGAAAGCTCCATAAGGTGGATTGGAATAACACCCCAAGCTCCTTGCACGCAAAATTGTTCGAAGAAAGCTGGTCCGATGATCTTGGTGTTGTCGACGAAGCAGTAAGGGTAAAGCAACGCGCCACCTACGATGGAGATAAAGATGATGCTGAAGCGGCGACCGAATATGGAAGAACAGTAGCCGATTACTGTGCCGCCAGTCATAGCGCCAAGGTTAGCAACGACTTGCGTAACAGTGACGGCGTTGGGGGAGAAGTTGTACTGGGTCGAGAGCATGGTTGGGTAGAGGTCTTGGGATCCGTGGGACTGTCCAAATATCAGTACCTGCCCAATGCAAATTTCCCGGAACCAAATCCCGGTAGCTTCGTCAAGAAACTTACCATGAAGTTAAACCCAGCCATTAGGAGCACCATGTAGATCAGAAGCAGCCAATGGTTCTTCAGTGCAATCTTGCCTTCTTCAAGGAACACTTTCGCCGCATTTGGTGTAGATTCTCGGATGCGCTGACGCTCCTGATAGGCCTGAGTTTCGGGGAGAGAGAGACGGAAGAGGATGATGAGGACCGGAGGGCCAGCACCAAACCAGAAGAGCTTGAACACTCATTAGCCAATAAACTTCCACAAAATCGAGGAACCATATTCTTACTGGCCTCCAACCGTGTCCCACCGTATTCACGAACGCACGCGAGAAAATCGTGGCTAGCAGATATCCAAACGCATATCCTTGCTGCAGCATACCGGAGATGATACCTCGAGCCGCTTCTGGGCAATCTTCAAGCGCCTATATCAACCTTTCATCAGAATATGCAATCTCAAATGGAAGGAAGACCTTACCGTCGCTGCAGCATTGCCGTATAGTCCGCCCATGGCAATCCCAAACAAAGAACGAACCCCCAAAAAAGACTCATACGTACTGCAAAATCCGGTCCCCAATTCCAATACAATGAACAGTATGTTGTTAATAATGAAAGGCCATTTCCTGCCCCACCGATCCGCTGCAACTCCAAATATAATACTTCCGACCGACCTCAACATCAATACGAGGGTAATCCCCCACGTGATATCCGTCTTGGTCTTACCGAATGATTCGGCAAGGTCTTCCACGGTAAGAGATACGGTGAAAAAGTCGAAAGCGTCCCAGGACCAGGCAAAAAATGCGACCAGGAAGAACATCCATTGCTGGAGATTAAGCAGGGCGAGGAGTTTGAAAGGGTTTTCAACCTTGTCCATCACAGGTTTCAGCGTTGGGACTCGTGTCGCAACGTAGTGGCCGATGGACATATGTTCGACAGGTTCGGGAGGGCCAAGAAAGGCGCGCTCTTCATGGGCTGGTTTTTCCTCCATAGTGAGGGTGGACTGAGATGAAAGTATCTGCAATCTCTTAAGATGGATAAAGAAAGGTTGTTGAGGTGTCGGTGTGATATACCAAGTCGCGAGCGCCTCTGAAAATCAGACCTCGGCGTTTGAAGGAGGAAAGGAAGCAATGCACAACACCATCAGCTGTCGTCGCACACAACTAGGGCCTTTTTCTTCTTTTCCCTCACCCGATCGCCGCGCGACCTTCTCAAAAGCGCAAGTCAACTTCATGTCCACGGTCCCCATGACATTCCCCACCTGCCCATGCCCCAAGCACTCACCCCGCAGGCGGACAACCCAATCCTGGGGTACGATTGGAGGAGATGTTTGCACAGGCAGCATCAGAAACACAATCTCGAAGGTGGCGTTTAAACGCCAAGGCACCAAGGAGCGCCAGTGGATGCTTAGTGGAAGACAAGCCCGGGCAAGACGGCTTCATGGCGCACAAAAGCTTTGTCAAGAGCCGGTGGCACCAGAGTGGCAGAGAGCTTGTTTGCAGAATCTTCGTTTCTTTTTAAAGCTCCCTCTCGCATGATTCCAACGGCAGCGTCGCGCCAGCTATGGATGGTGGAATGCTGCTCATGATGGACGGTCGAACAAAATAATTGTTTTTGGTGTCCTGTCCTGGATGGAAGGTTGCCTCGTGGGTGAGGTTTTCAAGCACCCCAGAAGCCGGGCACAGATCGGCGTCAACATCTCTCCTGATTTGTCCGCCACGACATCCGTCAACCGCATATCTCGAATGATTCCAGAACTCTCCACAGCGGAAGCCAGTTCTGACTCCGAATCACCTCCGCTCGACTCCAAATTTCGGGCACGAAAGCAGCTGCTTCCGATAACAAGCTATTGCCCCATCCTCGATCGTGAACCTTGAAGCCATGCATGACTTAGCAAGGTGCTCAAAAGACTGGTATCGAGGTTTACGCACCGGCATTACATCGAATGGGGGAAACTGGACCATGGGTTATCGCATATGCGCCGCATGATAAATTCTAGAACACGGGTTCCAGGTTTAGATAAGAGATCTCTTGCGTAAGAGCACCTGACCCAAGGTTATGGGCACCAATTATGAATTGAGGCGCAAACCTGGCTGAGCCGAACCACACAGCTGTGGATAATAACAAAGCTGTTGGCACAAAGAAATTATCTACGCCGAGGTCTCTATATTACCCTTGGTGTTTGACGTCACCCACTCGCGAATAGTGTTACCAAAGTGCGATTCCTTCCGGTACACCTCCAAGTCCTCAATCTCGGCATCCTGCCCTCCACAGAATACACTTTACAGGGAACAGGGCCTGATATCTTTCCTGTCTAATCTCATAATTGTGCGACGAAAATCACCTCAGTTGGTCACTCCGGAGCCCATCATTCATGAACAAACGGGGCATCCTACTCAAGGCTCAACCCGAAGCTAGTTGTACTCGCGTGCGGCAAATGCACTCAGGCCCAAGGAAAAGCAAGCTCCACTCCAGCAAAAACTCTAAATCCACCTAGAGACACTTGATACCTGCCGCTTGTTTCTTCAACACCTGTGTACTGCAATTATGAAGCACTCTACTAGCACAAGAAGTCCATAGCTACGTCCCGCTCGCTTTAAGGGACAGGCTTATTTCAAGCGAAGCTTAATTGCAAATCCACTCAAAAGCAGAAATGGTGGCGAAGCGCAACCCTAGGAAAATAAATTGTAACCTTAAACACTCTGTGCCAAATGCTTGTATTGACGCCTGCCTGAAGGACTTGTTTCGAAGTCCTGGAATATACCTTTTTAAGTTATCGGACGGATAATGTCCAGATGAACGCAGACATACTTCTACCAAACCTTATCTATTAGCGTCTCCACGACATGAAATAGCAGTCCAAGAGCTGAAGCACTTGTGGTACCTGCGCTTGAGTATGTAACAATACGAACTTTTTTCAGCCTCCGACGCAACACACACCTAGAGTGGACACGCCATGCTCTCATCAGATGGTTGTGCAAGCAAACTCCTTCCGTACAGCCTATTCCTTCGAACCTTTACAGGAATTTTAGGCATGTTCCTGTAGATCTGGGGGCCGTCAGACTAGAAACCAATCCTAATATTCATCGCCTTCCATTCTTTCAGGCACACGCAAGTAAAATAGCTCTACATAAAATTGGCGTAAAACTTCCGTTCCAAGAAATGGCACTGATGACAATACTTGCAACTGCACCACCCGACCAACGCGCCGTGGAATGCGGTACCAAAGCAGGCGCAGAGGTTGCACTAGGCACCGTCGAACTCGACCTACCCGTAGAATCTCCACTCAAACTCCCATTACCATAACAAAACATCTCTGACAACACCACCCTCATCAACTGCCCTCAATTGCACCGTTTCCCCTCCGCCTTTCCCATCCGCTTGCCGTGGCGTAAACTCCTGACTATCATAATTCACACGAGCACCATCACGTTACTAAAAGAAACAACCGACTGATAGCCGGGAGATCGTTTTCATTGACGTTCTGTATCGGGTTGGTGGGGATGTTGCGGACGGATGCGTTTTGCATGACCGCGCCTGTGGTATGGTCTATGAGGGGTTCCGGGACAACGAGTTGGGAGTTGGGGATGCGGATTGGGATGTCGATTTGGAGGGAGTATGTTAGTCACCATAGTAGCCACTATTTGGGTTATCAGCGTGCGAATGTGAACACGGATAGAGGGAAACTGATGTAGGAAAGAGAGTAGAGAGACATGACATTCACGCCTTCAGGTTCAAAGAGTACAGTGAAAAAACTAATCCCCTTTACTCTTCATAGCATCCCTTATATATATACCTCCTATCAAGGCTCTTATATTGTTCCAATAATCAAACGGTATCCGCTGTAAAGTTCTCTCCGTTTCCTGTGAGGGATTTTCGAAGCTTCCAAGATTGAGGGAACCTCATATAAGTTGGTTTCGTGGACCGCTTGCTAGACGCCAGAAGATGGAGGAAGCTCGAGAGCTAATGCACTCGGCCTTATTTACTAATTTAGAAGGTTGAGAAGGGAAGAGTCACGACCGAGACCTAGCTGAGCTTGATTTACGTAGGCTTGATTGAGGTCTTTGTTGGGAATTCCGAATGCGAAATTTTCGGCGATATATTGGATTGGAGATAAAGGTATCCTTTATCCATTGCGCACTGATTTTGTCTCTCTGAAATCTCGCTGTGGAGGTAATTTCAGTGGAAGTGTTATTCGGGTTGTATTGTCCTCAACGGAAGGTCATGAAGGCAGTCGTGGAGAAATCCGACCCACAATAGCCATTAGACCCTTAGAAGTTAGTCTTGTTGCAACTTAATCTTTAAGTTTACGTAAATCACTAGCTTGACTGTTAGAAGTAGTAGAGCATTACTTACGCGCCTGAGAGCATGGAAATAATCTGAAAAGGCGCCCCAAGATCCAATGATATGCCCCCGATGTTCGCCTTGTTGGCGAACTCCAAATCTTGAATAGGCAGACAGGAGTTTCGGTTGACAAGCTACTGCTGTGGAGGTAAAGGTCTAAAACAGCAAGGATACATAACGTAGGAATTAAGGTCGGAAAAGGTAGAAACCCTCAGATGTAGTCTGATTAGTATATCGTCGCACACATCTTAGACGAGGAAACAGGGGAGAGCAATGTGAACAAGGAGATTGGAGTGAACTTGGAATCAACAGGATGGCGAGCAAATGCGCCATAGATTCTTGAATTGCTTTTCAATACGTGCTATCATGCAACAAACTAATACAGTCGGCATTTTACAGAAGGGTAGAGGTAATCGATTTATGTGTTAAATATCACTGCCTTCACCGATTACTCTCGTATAGCTCTGAAGGTTCAGATCGTAAATTGTACACAAAGCTCCTATAAGATTTAAATCTAACACTGCCAATGACACGGTTATGTTACAGCTATCCAACCCCTGAGTACCCTTAGGCTTGGCACGGGGTATATAGGCTCCTCGGCCTCCGTACCTCTGCCTCCGACCCTAAGGTTTACTCTCTCTCTTGTAGCTCTGCTACACACCCCTATCCTGCATTCCCTCTCTGTGCCTCGTGCTTCTTGCTCGATACCTCTTACACAATCCTACTGTCAGGTGAGATACTAACTTATCACTAACAATCTCTCTCCCTAGGATCAAAGTTAACATATAGTTTATTGCAGTGTAATATAATTTGCTGCAAGTTACAGTTTTTTACTGCATTTTGCGGCAAACTACCGTAATTTTCTTTATGCTACGTAATCTCTAGCGAATACTCCTAGAGACTAGCCTATTATAGTAAATCTCTAATTATAATAATAGTGCTATTATTATCTACTTCATTTAGCAAAACTCTTACATTTATGTAAGCTTTAGTATTTTAGAACATGCATACATGCATGCTCAAGCGGGTGAGCTCTTCTAACTTAGCGTGAAGAACTCGGCCATTCGCCTTTGAACCACGCGACGCGTGACGTGGCTCATCTATCTCGTTTTACTAACTACGGTTATAGTGACAAGGAAAATCTCCACGATTTTGATAAGTGTGGGGGTTGGCCACTTTGTCACGAGCATGCAGTGGTTGGGTGGGAGCTTGGGGGTTTAGCGGTATTGGGGCTGAGCCATGGACTACGCGGATGGAAATGAAAGCTAAGAACGAGGCAAAAAAAGCCGCGGATACAAAGTCCCAATAATTGGATAAATTCCTTGTTTGACCAGGGATCTCTCTTACAACTACTTTCTTTTGAGTGTAGAAATTGGGGTGGTTACATAGGTAACGAATTTTATCGCCGTTGCAGTGCCCCAACCTCCAACCCATTTTGCTTTTCCTCTGCCCCTCTGGATGCAAACACGCTAGCATGACCGTATCCAGTTGTTTTTATTCGTGCTCCACATCGGTTACATAGGATGTTATCATTCTCATGCTCGCCTTAGGATAGCTCGGCGAATGAGCATTCTGGACGCGTTTGCGTAATTGGCGTGGCAGTGCTACTGATTCGTATCCCTTCGATTGTTGAATGAGGCTTCACCGGTCGGCCTTCGACTTTAGCTTACGCCTATAGGTTATCTTTTTAAACCATTTGTTTCTTGGCCATTTCCTATATCTTCAAAATCCCCTCATTTCTCAATATCTTAAACCCCTCCAGAACACCTCTGCCCTCACTTACTCATATCCCCCTTCACACAGTACCTTTCCATATATTTCCCCCCTCCTATCTACTATGTCGGGCAATATACCCCCCTTAGAAGGGCGGAAGAAGAGGAATTGGCGACGTTCTTTAGCAATTCGAGAGATGGTGAAGGTGAGTGGGGAGCTTCCGCCTTGCGCTTCCCAGCCGCTCTCCGGACAAGCTTCTTCGTTGAATGTTGCTTGTGGGGAACCGGTCCCAGCCACGGATGTAGGACTGATGAGTTTAAACTTCACACCTAGTCCATTCGATATTCCAACGCCAGCAGAATGCATCGCGCACTTGAAACTGCTGCATGCGTTCGCGAAGCTAAGACATGAGGTTGGGAATCAAGATGGCTTATTCGGCATTGAATTCAGGAAGGTGAGCGGAGTACTGGGTACGAAAGATGTGGAAGAACTAGGAATTTACACGCCTACGAGGAACGCCGACCATCAGCGAGAGGGTATGCATGAGGCAAACCCTTCCAAGGCGGCAGCAAGGGGGCACACCCTGAGTGAGAAAGAGATAGCAGAAGTAGATCTCGCAGAAAGGATTCGAGAGAAGAGATGGACGGTCTTTGTCACTGCAGCAGTGGATCGATTTGAAAAGTGGTGGGACACCCTGCCTTCACATTCTGATTTGTACAGCTCTCCTCTCAACATGTCAATGTTCATTATGTTCGGAGCTTCCCGGCCAGATTTGTTCCCCACCCATGGGGCCGGAATGGGGCAAGATATTAATGAGAGACTTCCGCCGCTAGATGTTCTGATGGTATGGCACGCCTACATGCTGAACCCTCAGGCTTATCTTGAGGATTGTATGAGACTATCTCGGCACCAAATCTGGTCAACCCCCTTCCCCTGGGAGTTGATCAACTCCTCTATTGACTCGGAAACATTCGAATACAACCCACCGGAAGCAGCGAAACACAATTGGGAGTCGACTACTGACCTGCCTTGGGGAAGTATTCACGATGCACCGTTTGGGAACAAATACAGCACTGTCCTTCGCTGTCCGAAATGCCTCCAAAATCTCGACGTTCCGTGGACTCGTCCTCCAATGACTTCTGGGCCTGAAACCCTTGAGGCGTATCTGGAGTACGACACTGGGTTCGCTGGCCAACAGTTTCAAGAATCGTGTCCAAGTTGTGACTTAGTCATTAAACACGAGACATTACGAGTTGGGAAGTTTATTTCAGACGCAGAGGCAGTACTGAGGCAGTCTCTCCCTCTGCCAGGCACTATCCTTAACCCCCAGGGCATACCGCAGATGGTAGACCCTGGTAAGGGAATCAACACACACGACCCCTTCTTTCCTAACCGCCTGATCCAAAATGCACCACGGTGGCAGCCCGACTATCTACGCATGGAAATCGCCACCCTTTCCATTGAGTGCCTCAGGTCGCGCCTAGAAAATGTCGTCTCATCGTTTCCATCAATGGAACTCATTCATGCAAACATTGAACAACTTCATCCTCAATCCCTCGGCAAGGCATCTAGGATCGCAATAAGGAAGTGGTTGAGTCATTACTGGGACAATTCGAGTCCGTTTGGCTTAGATCTTGTGGGGGCGGTGATTAGACAGAGCAGCTTTGTGCTTAAGATGCGGAATATTGATTGGCTGCATAGCCCTGCAGTTCTAACGACGGCCCAGAGGCTAATAGTGAAGTATCATCGGTTTGTACAAATTGTGGCGGAGAATCCGAACAAAGTTGCTGTGCCGACGCTGGATGTAGATTTAGCATGGGTAAGTCTGATTCTTTCACCTGCCTGTGGGTTTCGTCCCTACTCACATTTTATTTCCGCAATTTTCTGGTTATATCAATCGAAATGAATATATTGCTGATAGTGTTGTTGTAGCACACCCACCAACTCTCTCCCAAAATCTACTCCAGCTACACCTTAGCCGAAACCAAGAAATTCCTCAATCACGACGACAAAATCATTGAAGGTACTCTACACACCCAATTCCAATGGACCTCAGCCCAATACGAGAAGAAATACGGCCAGCCATATGCCGAATGCGCCTGCTGGTACTGCGAATGCACTCGTGAACCCCTCCGAAGTAGTTTTACTAGTAAGATTAATCCATTTAGGGGCCGTAAGATTGCCGATGTGGAGAAGAGAATCGAGAATGGGGAGTTGGGCAAAGACCCTGTGATAGGAGTGCACATTAGTGCACATAATGCCATCCGCGAAAATACAAAAAACCCTTCCGCTGGATACGATACCTCTGCCTACCAACACAGCCGTGAGCTCGAAGGTCTCAATCGTACATATGGTCGTGTCCTGCATCGCTACAATAAAAAGAAAGCATCCTCCTCGGCTCCAAGAAAAAAAAACAACTCCTACGTTCATGGTGCTTATGGTTATCCCTTATACTACCCCGTCTATGTTCCCTACCTTGCCGAACCAACATGTGAGCACGACCGGTATACGATGGCGACTGGGGGTGGAAGGGAAGGAGCAGGGTGTGTCTATGAGACTTGCTCAACTGCAGCGAGTCTAGGGAGTTGTGCTATAGGGGGCAGAGGACCGGCGTGTAATGTCGGTTGTGGGGAACGGGGGTTAGCGACTGGAGGGGGACGGTGTGGTGTGAACTGTGGTGGTGGTGGTGGTGGTGGTGGTGGAAATGGGGGTGGTGATGGGGATGGCGGGGATGGCGGCGGGAATGGTGGTGGCGGAGGATGTGGAGGGTGTGGAGGGTAGATTGTGTTACGACACGACAATTGGCCAGGAGGAGCACCGCCAAGGCCAACACCATGGAGGAAGGATGGACGTGATAATCTGGATCATGTGATGTGCTCACAAGGCTTGACATCAGCAAGCATCGATGAGCATCGCGCCAAGCCTGCGAGCACATCATCACCTGATCTGAGCATGTCACGCGGTTTGGGTTGGTCCGTCCTTCTCCCATGGGGTTGGTCTTAGAGGTGTTCCCTGTGGCCTAACCAGACCGTTGTAGCACATTGACGTTATATCCAGCCTTGGTCATATCCCTAATGGCTCGCCCTCTGTTACAGAATTGGCTCCCCTCTCTTACAAAGGACAACGCGGTAAAAATTGTGTCGATCTCCGAGGTTCACGACTTCACCAAGCTGGACTAAGCATGGACGTTGAGAAGGCGAGTACATTTCAAGCCGGATGGAAGTTTTAAGGATGTTGACGTAGCAATCGTAAAGGGTGAAGAGATCAGACTGTAGCTCCTGGCAGAGGGATCTTGCGAGGTCTCCACAATGTTCAGTCGGCCTGAGTCAACTGTAGCGTAGGTGATTTCAGCCTAGCACAAAAAGTTGATACCTAATGACAATAATTAGCACTTATCCGACTCTACGTCAGGAATTCTTTAAATCCAAGTTTCACATGATAAACCTTCAACAATTCTTACAACCAATTCTTAGCCTTGCTCAGCCTCGTCTCGCCTGGCCTTGGCCACTAGAAGCGCCACAATGCACCTCGTAATCAAATATTACACTATCTCTACCGCCAAGCCCTCTCTCCTATTGGTCCGGATATAAGCCGGCTATTAATTTAATTAGTAGAAAATTAGTAACTAAAAAGCCGCGTTACTGTTTGTTTTTAAGCTTTAAGTAATTGTTCTGCTATGCTACATGCTTAATCTAGTCTTCTTTTTTTCCTATTGTAATTAACTACTGCATAGTTAGGGGTGTAAAAATTACTTCTACAGTGTAATTTTTCCTGCTAAATGTAATTAGCTTTGCTAAGACCTTCTAAGCAAAGCCTGCTATAGGCAAAAAGGGGGTTCTAGAGAATCTCCCCCTAGTTAAGCAAAACAGTAGTGCAACTTTAGGCTTTAGCTCTATATCTGCTCTAACCTGTTCTAATCTTTTCTAACTAGACATTATCTGCTTTAATACCTTTGCAGCCTTAGTTAACTTTACTTTATAATAATAATAAGTTATAGTAAGCTACTGTATTATAGCTATCTATAATGTATATAAGTGTATTAGGTTATCCTATGTTATCTACTAACCTCTATAAAGAATTATAAAGGCCTTAAGATTACACCTAACATAATATTAGCCTAATGTAAAACACTTTTAACTGTTTCCTCTTTTCTTTAAGCTATAAAGCTATACTAATTATATTAAAATTAAGAGCATATTTACATACTATAAACTATTATATAGGGGGTAAGGGCTTAAAGGCGTTTTATTACTTAAAATAATAAGTTTAGATAGCTTAAATTTTTTTTTATATAAAATTTTTTCTTAGAGGTTTTTAGCCTAATTAAGTCCTTTTCTAAACTTAATAAGGACGCTGTTTTAGAAAAGGTTATACTTCTAGAGACTCTAAAAAAACAAATTTATTTAGTGTAGTATAGGCCTTACTACGCCTTATTTTAATAGGCAGGATTTTAATCTACTTAAAGTTAATTTATCTTTAATCTGCTTTAACTTTTTTTAATTAGTACTTTTCTCTCTTAACCTGTCCTTTTTTTTCTATTATACAGTGTTATCCTTTTATATTATTGCTATATAGACTTATTGCTTACTTTCTGCCTAGTCTATAATAACTACAGACCCCTCTTTAACTTCCTTACTAATAAAGTTAGAGCTTCTTATTGCTAGTGCAACAGACATAGCTGTGTAGTATGTTACTTTATTATAATTATTATATTCTTTAGCGCTTATATCTAGTTTTATCTAGGCGTGTTAGCTATTAGCTAATGTTAACTCTAATGCATAACCTTTAAAACATGTTTAAGCTTGCGCTACTACAGTCTAATTAGGTCTATGCTAGGGCTAACCTGCACATGCTAGGCGTGACACTACATTAAGTAGAACGCTAGTGCTTAATTAATTATTTTATACATATTAAGACTTTTTTAAGACTTTTACACTTTTTTTTACTTCTTTTACGCTATCTATCTAGATCTATTGTAATATATAATTAACCCCTTTTAAGTCCTTTACACTAACTTCTACTTCTTCTACGCTGTCTATATATATACATTATTATAATATATAGCTAACCTTATAAAGACCTGTTTAATCTCTACCCTTTTAACATACTTTAGATTAGCCTGCTTTATCTTTATTTATGTGTAGAGATTAGAAGTAACTAAAGGCTAGTCTTTTATAAAATAATTTACTAAAGGCATATATTATTACTACTATAGACTATATTACTCTTATTAACTTTAGTTTAATGTAAAATCTTATAAGCAGCTGTTTTAACTGTAGTGCCTTTTACTAGCCTAAGGAGCAGGTTAATAAGAGTTAGGCAGATTCTCTTTAGTACTCTATATATTGCCTAATAAGTGATATTAACCTTCTAACCTTTCTAGATCTACCTCTATTCCTGTGTTGTCTTTTGCAGGGTAGGCACTTACTTAGCAGATCCTTTTAGAAGTATCTTTAATTATATAACACAGCTTTAGCTTTTATGTTAGCTAACTATAAATAAACAAATTAAGGTGTGTGTAGCATAGGCGTAAAAGTTTTTTAGATTATAGGGGAGATGTACTATATGCACAGCCTATTAGAGCCTGCTAAGGGGGACGTCCCTTTTTACGCACAGCTGTACTTTTACAATCCTGCCTAGGCTAACAGTGCGCGTATAGGGCATTAGGCTAATAGTAGTCTTAATCTAACTATACTTACACAGCTGCTACAGATAGTTAAGACAGATTATAATAATCTTTAGATTAAAATATACAAAACTGCACATAAGTAGTTGCAGTAAGCTTATAAGCAAGATAAGGAATTATAGATTACTTTTAATTTATAACTATAGTTAATTATGCAGGCTAGGGCTAATTAACATTAAGAGAACTTACTTATTACTAAGAAGATTGCTACTCTAGTTTATAATAAGCTAGTTAAAGATTATAACTAAAATCTTATTTTTTACTACTAACTTAGCCCTAATCTAAAATACTGTTAGTCTTTATACTAAAGAATTAAACATACACATGCAGCATATTAGCTTCTCTACTACATTTTAATGTTTTTATAGAGTACCTTTAGGTTTTACTATAGTTTACAGCTGTGTACTTTATGCATGTCTTGCACTTAGGATACTTTAACTAATTTTAAGTATTACTAATTCTACTTATTTTTTTAGTGTAGTAGTCTTATTATGCTTTTTAATTATAGTCTGTTATTCTAGTAATTTGTTATTAACTACTAGGCTTAGTGTAAACAGAGAAAGTTATAGTAGATTATAGTAAATTAAAAACAGTTACATGCTAATTTATATTAAGAAGTGTGTAATGCATTAGATTAAGACAACTTTTAGGCTAATTTAGTTAGGATTTAGACTATTCTTTCTTTAAGTTACATTAGCAGCAGTTACTTTATTACATAGTATTATTAGAACTTTATAGCTATTATTTAAAAGCTTAGTTAACCTACTTTGTTTATTACTTTTACTGCTAATCCTAAATAGCTGGAGTTAGAGCAGGAGATTAGTACGTCCTTTTAGCTATTAGATTAGCTAGATCTAGTTGCGCGCGTTTTTAAGCTGCGTCTTAACTCCCTCCTTACAGACCTCTAAACTAACTATGTATTTAGCTAGTATACTAGTATTATGTATACTATTAAGTACTAGAAGTAGGGTTTATTTTATGCTTACATTTTACTCTTTCTATGTTATAATTACTATAATTAGTTCCTTAATCTAAACTTTATTAATTAGGTTATATAGGCTAAGCTTCTTATAAAGGCTTAAGATCTAGATAGAGTTTTAAGTAACATTATTAAAACTACTATAGTTTATAGGCTATGTAGAACCTTAAATCCTAGCATGCCCTGTATACAGACTACAGAGCGTTCTCTCTAAGCAACCTATTAGAAGCAATTTCTAAAGAAATACACTAATAAGACTTTAGTTAGTAGAGACAGTTATCTTATATATTAGTGTTAACTTAGTTTAACTTAGGTTGTAAAGTGTTATAGTTAAGACATTATAGTTAATAATTACTAAGTAGTGCCTTATAGTCTATACCTTTTACATAAGTACAACGCACATGTTAATGTAGAGGTCTGTGCCTCTATAAAGTTAGTTAAATATATACATAAGTATATCTATAAGGGCACTAATTAGGTTGTTATCTGTATCTAGTAAGAAGATAAAGTTGCCTAGTATCTAAACATGCGCTATATTAGACTAACTAAGGCTGTTTAGCAATTAATAGAGTTTAAAGTTTATAAGAAGAAGCCTTCTGTTATTTAATTAGTAGTGCATTTACTAAGACAGCATATAGTCACCTTTTATAATAAGGACAGTGCTAAATAGGTAGAGATTGCAGTTAAACAGAAAAAATTATTATTAATAAAATAGTTAGAGTATAATGCTCTTTATATAAATAAGTGTAATCTTCTTTACTAGAACTTTCTAACCTAGTATTATTAGAATCTAGGGAAAGATAGTAGTAAATAGACTTAGTTCTAACATAATTAGTACTTTATTAGTTGTGTCTACTTCTGTAGTTCTTCCTTTAGGGAGTGTTTTTATTTTAGAATGCTTTTTACATAAATTCTAGGCGCAATTAGTTTTAAACATCTCTGTATAGTTAATAGTTAGATCTAACCTACTTTTAAAGACACCTATTTAGCTCTTAATCTCTTAGTTAAAGATAAATTATAGTAGTATATATTTTTTAAGCTTTAGCATTTAGCACTTACTTTTAAGTTATGTTATGTCTTTCTCTAGGCCTTAGTCTTTAGAAATGTAGGTAATTT